CCTCCTCCTCCTCTTCCCCGTCCTCCTCCTCATCCCCCTCGTCCTCGTCGTCCTCCTCCTCCTCCTCCACCCCCCCCATCATCATCATCATCATCATCATCATCATCATCATCATCATCATCATCATCACCATCATCATCATCATCATCATCAGCATCATCACCATCAGCATCATCATCGTCCTCCTCCGCCCCCCCTCATCATCATCATCATCATCATCAGCATCATCAGCATCATCATCGTCATCATCATCATCATCATCATCACCATCATCTTCATCATCATCATCATCATCATCGTCATCGTCATCGTTATCGTCATCATCATCATCCGCATCATCATCATCATCATCATCATCATCATCATCATCCCCGTCCTCCTCCTCATCCCCCTCGTCCTAGCCCTCCTCCTCCTCCTCCTTCTCATCATCATCATCATCCCCGTCCTCCTCCTCCTCCTCCTGCTCTCCCTCCTTGTTCTCCTCCTCCTCCTCCTCCTCCTCCTCATCCCCGTCCTCCCGCTCCTCCTCATTCCCCTCGTCATCGTCGTCCTCCTCCTCCTCCTCCGCCCCCCCCCTCGCCCTCGTCCTCGTCCTCGTCCTCCTCCTCCTCCTCAACCCTGGCATCCTCCGCATCCCCCTCGTCCTCGTCCTCCTCCGCCTCCTCATCATCAGCATCGTCCTCCTCGTCCCCGTCCTCCACCTCCTCCTCCCCTCATCCCCCGAGTCCTCGTCCTCGTCCTCCTCTTCTTCCTCTCTCCTTCTCCTCCTCCGCCTCCTCCTCCTCCTCATCCTCCTCCTCATCCTCCTCCTCCTCCTCATCATCAGTATCATCATCACCATCATCATCATCAGCACCAAAACCATCACCATCACCACCATCATCATCATCATCAGCATCATCATCATAATCGTCAGCATCATCATCATCAGCATCATCTGCATCAGCATCAGCATCAGCATCAGCATCAGCATCAGTATCAGCATCAGCATCAGCATCAGCATCAGCAGCATCATCATCATCATCATCAGCATCATCATCACCATCCTCAGCATCCCCCTCGGCCCCGTCCTCCTCCTATTCACTCTCCTCGTCGTCGTCCTCATCCCCGTCCTCCTCATCCCCGTCCTCCTCCTCCTCCTCCTCCTCATCCTCCTCCTCATCCTCATCCCCCTCGTCCCCGTCTTCCTCCTGCTCCTCCTCCTGCTCCTCCTCATCCTCCTACTCCTCCTCCGCCTCCTTCTCCTCCTCCTTCTCCTCATCCCCGTCCTCATCCTATTCCTCCTCCTCCTCCTCCTCCTCGTCATCATCATCATCATCATCATCATCATCATCACCATCATCATCATCATCATGACGATTTACTCGGCCAATAGAATGATATCCCAAAGCGATTCATCACAGGCTTGCCACCAATCAGCATAGAATTCTACTGCTCTATGTCCCAGGGCGGGTCGGGTCGGGAACAACAGAAGGCTATGAGCACGGGACGGGCGAGGCACGCGGCGCTCTTGCTACCTTCCCCCTACTCGTGTCACTGTACGGCCCCCGTGTCGTCATTACTGTGCACGCACTCTCATGGCGATTTACTCGGCCAATAGAATGATATCCCAAAGCGATTCATCACAGGCTTGCCACCAATCAGCATAGAATTCTACTGCTCTATGTCCCCAATCACCATCAAGAGGTCCCGAATCTCAGAGATGTTTTGGCCTCGGGCGGGTACGGGGGGGAGAGGCCGATCCTGGAGGGGCGGTCGTCCGTGCCACCGAACTCGCCACGTGCATCTGGGCCCACAGGAGTCTGAAGGCGCATGCGATAGCAGTGCAGAGACGAGGTGAGTAATGTTTAGCACGGTCGGTCTTCCATCCAGCATTTTCCTTTTTACCTTCAAGATGTCGTGTGGTTTTCCTGACCTAGAGGACATATTGCATTGCCCATACATCTTTGGATCAGGAAGGAGTTGTCGGGATCTGAGGATACAAGATGGTGGTCCGCTTCCTGAAGTCAGTCCCGAACTGGCCCAGGTCGAAAACAACAGACTCAGCGAACTTGGATTCTGCGATGTGCTTCAAAAACTGAACGAACCAGAGCATGGCAGAGGAGGGGTTCTCGATCATGAACGGCACTCAGGAGAACGAACAGCACTCTAGCGACATTGAATGAGCGGCATGGCGTAGCCACGAATATTCCCTGCACGCGGCCCGAGTTTGTCAACTTCAGAAGTGCCTTTATTATTCCAGGCGCAAAAATGTCGATCTCAGGTTCGAGCTGTATCTCTGGCGACGAGATGCCACACATCGCCACCGTCCTGCCGACTCCCTTGGAACCAGCAAAGATGTTGAGGAAAGGGTCGCCTCGCTCCACGCAGGCGCTCGGGGCGCGCTCACCGCCCCAAGGAGGAAGTCTCCAAGGTGCGCCGTGCAGAGCCAGAGGTACTCCTGGACGCTGTCGTCTAGCCCCTCGAGCAGGAAGTCGACCTTGCTGGACTTCCCGTGCCTGGTGCGAGAGCGCATGCTGGCCCAGCGCCCGCGACGCTGGACCCTCAACCGAGATCTCCTGCCCGTGATGACGCCCGCGACTGGCCTGCGCGCCGAAGGTCGTAGGGGACGATCCCCAGGCCCTCGCGCCGGCACACCTTCAGCGCCTTCGCGACCATGGCCCCGAGCTCCGCCTGCGTCAGGCCCCACAGCGAGACGCTCGCCCCCTTCCCCTGGCGGTACAGCTTGAAGAAGAGGCCGAGGAACTGCAGGTTCTCGTGGTTTATCGTCACGTTGTCGTCGTAGACGCCCGTCTTGGTGGAGCCTTCGCTGCTGTCCGCAGGCCCCTGGATCAGCGACCCTTTCAGCCCAGTCCGCCCATTCCAGGAGGGCCGTCACCAGCGAGTCCAGGGTGCTGACGTCGACACCCTGGCGGCGGGAGTACTCGTAGAACTCCTCGATCCGCCTGTGGTAGTCCTCGACCTGGCCGGGCCTCACAGCGAAGCCTGAGGCGACTGCCCGTCTCCCAGTGGCAGAGCTTCGCGCACTCGAAGGTCGGGAAGATCCAGATGCATCGCTGGCCCTGCCTCGACCCGCTGCGTCCCGTTGTGCGTCGCAATGCCTGTCGCCACTCTGCGCCTCGCTGCATGCACCCTCGACGCCGCGCCCGTCATCAAGATGGGGCAGCCCAGGAGGAGGACGCCATGCGTGGCCCAGAGCAGCAGCTGCAGGTTCCCAGAGCCGCGAGGGTCGATCAGCAGGATTAACCTCGGACGGGACCCAGCGGCACCATACCCGCAGCCCACTAGTGGCGAGCTGCAGCGCTGTGATCTGACGAAGCTGGCCCACGAGGGCTGGATCGCGACACCAGCACTTCTGCATGGCCAGCGTGAGTGACATATTGTCCACCAGCATGGGCGCCTTGCTGTGCCACCTGCGCCCGCATCGAGCCACGTGCTTGAACCCGAGCTTGGCGCCCCTCGCCTTCTTCCTGATCCTCCAGCGCTCGTCGCAGCTGCCCGTGACTCGCATATCTGGAGAGCCCCACTCAGCAGCACAGGCGCCAAGCCCATTATGGCAAGCATCCGCCGCCACCACCTGGTCGAGCCCGCCCGCCCCGATGTCGGCATAGACCAGCGGCAGGAGGGCAGCGGCGATGAGGCGCTCCCTCCTGACGCTTCGCCAGAGGTTCCTTGGCTCCCCTCCAACGGCCTCGGCAAAGGCAGGGGGGGCCCCGATGCAGGACAGATAAGGGCGCCGAAGCAAACAAGCGAAGCCGAGGTGCCCAAGTGCGGCTCGCATCTCCCCCCCAGTGCAGCGCCCGCCTCGTGCACGAGCATGCAGCCCCGAGTGCAGTTGCCACGCTCTGGCGGGGGATACTCTGACCATCTTCTTGCCCCCATCCGGGTGCTCTCCCACGATGCCCAAAGAGGAGCCGACCTGCTCGATCTCATGTACGTGAAAACCTGCGCGCCGAATGCCTTCGAGAGCCTGCCGATGCCTGGTCTCAGCCTCGGCCTTGTCACAGCCGAGGTCCCCGAAGTTGTCGACGCATGTCAGCTGAACCGGTCCCCCCTCAGGCAAAGGAGTAGGTATGCAGTCGCGAAGAAGCCGAGCTGGAGGGAGACCAGCCTGCCGCAGGCGTCCCTCATGGACGAGTTGGGCCACCCTCACTGCCCACGAGAAGCCCATCGGTAGTGACTGCAGAGCCGGGTAGAAGAGCTCGCTGGGACCAATCTTGATATCATTGATGCTCTCCACCCCCACAGCCGCGGCACGGACTGCTGGTAGACCAAGGTACTGAGGGAGTTCCTCATCGATCCTGAGCTCGTGTAGGTAGTCGTTAATATCAAGGCTGGCCAGAAAGATGATCTGGTCGGATGCGCACTGAGGACGGCTGAGCGAGTTGCCAGTAGCAAGATGTGTTGAGTCTGGGATGTCAAATAGTAAGTTGGTCCCTCGTGCATCACATATAAGTCGTAATTCACCACTCTGTTTATGAACAAAGAACAGCCCCACCCTCTCTTCGTAGGTTCGAGTCCAGCGCTCCAGTAGCCTGTCACGCGGATCCCGACAAAAACCCTCCCACTTCGCAGGATGTGCCTCCAGCACTGGGTCAAAGTAAGGATTGGGCAGCCCCTCGCTCTTGATACGCAATGCGCACTCCTCGTCACTGAGAAGGATGGTGTCGCGAAACGCTTAAACTTGCGCGACGCGTCCAAGGGCAGAACGTGGTAGATGTCCACCCCGTGCAGGTCGCGACTCGGCGGAGGTACTAAAGCCGAGCCAAACGGTGCAATGTTCCCGGCACACTCGCTGTCAACATAGCGGGCGTCTGCACGCAGAAGCGCCGCGAGGGCTTCTTGCGGGGCGGGTCTCTCCTTAGGCCTGGGCACAGCTTCAACCGCTTCACGAGCCCGGTCAGCAGCAGCACGGGCCTGCTCACCACCAGGACCGCTGGGCGACTTGTCACCGAAGCCCCCGCGCACGTTGAGACCCCAAAAAATTCTCGTCGGCACGCCTGTCGATCCAAGCACGCCGGCATATACGTTGTTGAACGCCGCGACTGAGTGAGCTACGAGGGCCTTCCCAATCACGAAGTCGAGGCAGGGGTAGACGGTCGCGCTGTCGACCGCCCGCCATGCCATGGTCAAAAACTCGTCGCAGCCCTCGCAGAAGACAGCAACTCGGAGGCGACCCAAGCTGGGCCACGAAAATCGAAATACCGCGGGGCGGCTAGCCCTTCTTCGCAAGGGCCGCCTCCTCACGGGCCTTGCGTCGTTCTTTCTGGATCGCAGCCTCGCCTTGGAGCTGCAACGCCACGTGCGAGGTGAGGAGCGGCGCCACGGCCGCGACTTTCCTGCCAAGGCCCTGGAAGTGCTCGCTCCCCTCGAACCGCGGCGCCTTCGGGTTGGACGCGCACGCCTCCTCCAGCAGCTGAATCCTCCTCGACAGTATCTCGAAAGAGGCGAGGGCAGACACGTCCAGCTGGTCGTAGGTGAGCGCTGTCTCAAGGATCTCCATGAGACTGCCATGCTCGTGCTTGACTCTGTCGTTGTCCGGCACGTGTGCGTCTCGCATCCACTTCTCTGTCCTGGTGCGGGGGGCGCTCCCCTGATCTCTGATGAACTTGCACAGCCAGAGAGTCGTTCTTGGGCCAACCACCGGGAAGTCGTCGAACCGTGGCTCCTCCAGCAGTCCGACGGCATTGGTGTAGGCCCTGAACCTCTGGCCCGTCTGTTCGTACAGCACGGGTAGTGCTCGAGCGCCAGCCGATTTGAGCGGCACTGCAGCCGCCGGCCCGTCTCCACCCGCTTGAGTTCCGAGGCCAGCTCCTGGCGCCCCGGGCCCAAAAGCACGGTCCACCGCCTGCTCGAGCTCGCCCTTCCTCGAGACCAGCACATTCCTCTCGTTGCCGACCGCGATGTTCTCCAGCACGAGGGTGACCGTCCCAAGACTGACCAGCGCGAACTTGCCCATGACACTGGCCGTGGCGTCCACGCTCCAGTCGGCCCCGATGGAGGGAGCCCCCGGCTGGCCGTCGTTCGCCACCACGATCCACTGCATGCCAGGGGCGGGACCGCCTCCGGGCGCCCCCACTGCCCCCGTGGCTGCTCCAGCCCCTGGGATGGCGGCGCCCCCACCCACGGCGGCGAGCGGCGCAGCAGGCGGGGCGGCCTGGCCGTCGGCCGCGGGGGCCGCGCCCACGTCTGCCACCAGAGCCCCCAACCCGGCGCCGGCTCCAGCTGGCGGAGGTCCAGCCGGCAGGCCTGTCCCGGCGATCCAGCCATGTTGACCCACCCGATCACGCACAGCACCAGATTCAGCATCAGCAGCGTCGTCGTCGATGCCCAGCCCCGCCCTCTCCATCTGTGCGGTCGCGATCCCGTCGTCGAAGACCTGACGCCACTCCGCCGCCGTGTACAGCTGGCCAAGCGGCGGGAACCTGTACAGCAGAGCGTTGGCGGGGATCGCTGGCGGCACAGACCCTTGCAGGCAGGGCGTGCCCCCGAGGGCACGGATGTCCTCTGGATAGACGTCGCCATCAGGAGTGACGATGACCCAGGTCGTTCCCCGCACCTTGCAGAGCAGGAGGCGCTCGTGCCAGTACGCCTCCCCGCCCCCGTACCACACCAGAATCAAGCGACCTGGAGCGATCGGCCTCGACTCGGCCATGCACCGCCCGGCGTAGCCCCGAGCCGAACAAGGCCCCTGCGCAGCAGCCCGTCGCCAGCCCGAAGAGGCCCGCGACCACCACCGCGACGATCCACCACCTGCTGAGGTCGGGCGCCGCCCTCGGGCAGCTGACCTCCGGGCAGCTCGGGCAGGCCGCGCCCCCGAGCGTGCAGGGCGGGCACTGCAGGGCAGGGCACGCCAGGCTGGGAGTGCAGGTGCAGTCGGGGCACACCTGCGCGGTCTGCCCAGCCCACACCAGGCTCGCGGTGCCCGCCGCACGCAGCGTCTCCTGCGCAGCCTCCAGCACAGCGTCCGCGAGCCACTTTGGCATGCACGGGCTGGAGTGGCGGTGGCGGGCGGCGCGCGCGAACCTCCTGAACAACAGAAGGCTATGAGCACGGGACGGGCGAGGCACGCGACGCTCTTGCTACCTTCCCCCTACTCGTGTCACTGTACGGCCCCCGTGTCGTCATTACTGTGCACGCACTCTCATCATCATCATCATCATCATCATCATCATCATCATCATCATCATCATCATCATCATCATCATCATCATCATCATCATCATCATCTTCATCATCTTCATCAGCATCATCAGCATCAGCATCATCATCATCATCATCATCATCATCATCATCATCATCATCATCATCTTCAGCATCCCCCTCATCCGCGTCCTCCTCCTCCTCCTCTTCATCCCCTTCGTCCCCGTCCTCCTCCTCCTCCTCCGCCACATGTTCCGCCTCCTCCTCCTCATCATCATCATCAGCATCACCATCATCATCCCCGTCCTCCTCCTCATCCCCCTCGCCCTCCTCCTCCTCCTCCTCCTGAGCGCGCCTTGCTGGCTACCAGACCTCAGGACGATGCCCGTGCGGGCAGGTCGACACTTTGAAGCATCGTCTCTTTTCTTGCAGCCTCCCTGAAGTCCTATATGCCAGAGAGGCTGCTGACCTGCCCCAGGACTTTCTGGACGCAGGTCGAGATAGTGACGATTTGATGTTCACCAGAGGGCTCTTCGTCCGTGATCCTGTCGAGGTTCCCCCCCCGTGTAGGTCGTCCGATTGTCGCGTTCTTGGGGGGAACGGCGAAGAGATCCCTCAGTCTCCCGAGCAGGTGGGACAGCTTCTGGGGGAGTATGGCCTTATGGAGTTAGCAGCGGACGGATCCTGCACCAAGCAGCCACTAAGGTGTCTTAGGAAGGCTGCTTGGGCCATAACGTTGTTGAGGCCTAACAGTGATGACGTCTTGGCTGTTATCCGCGGGCCCGTGGCTGGCTCCCTCCCCCAGACCCCTGCTTTCGCTGAGCACCGGGCCTATGCGTTGACTGGGCAGGTTTCAGATCGGGAGACGCATGTTGGACTCGATTGTCTAGCTGTGGTTACTCATGGACAAAAAGCCATCGAGGCCCAGACCAGGACCTCGAACAAATATGCAGCAGTTCGGATGTTTGCGAAGTCTCTGGAAGGGACGTCTAACATCACATTGACCAGGCACGTCAAGGCTCATCGCACTGACGGGGCGATTGAGGCCCTCAGTGGAGACGAGTACAGATATGCGCAAGCCAACAAGGCTGCAGATGCTCACGCAAAGCTGGCGCTTCAGATGCATATAAACCCTGACCCCAAGTTTTTGCAGGACGTCGAGATTGCCCAGTCTATGGCAACCGAGTTTGTGAAGTTGACTGCAGCTGGTTTGCCATGTCTTCAGAACGAACGGAGGAGGAGGAGGAGGAGGAGGCGGAGGAGGAGGAGGAGGAGGGGGAGGAGGAGGACGAGGAGGCGGAGGAGGAGGAGGAGGAGGAACTCCGAGAAGCAGGCGTCCCCATGTTAGGCTTTGCTCGAGCTTCCATGACTGGGGAGCGTCGGCCTTAGGCCTCCGGTGCACGCACTGTCTTATCGTGGCCGCCACTGGGGAGTCGCCGCCGACGGATGGTTGTGAGGGCACCCCGTCGTTCTTGGTTAAGCTCCTCGGGGACTCCAAGGGCCACCAGATTCTCGCCGGAGGAAGTTTTTCGCCGTTGCGTGCCTGATGCGAACCCAGAGGGGCTCCACGGGCGCCCCGTGCAGGCTGTCGTGGCCTCACAGTGAGTTGGACCTTGCTAGCAGGGGTCATGCGGAAGACCACGTGGACTGCCCAGTCCACCATTGAAAAGAGGGAGAGGCAGGGATGAAGGACGAGGAGGCGGCTGTCAGATCCCTGGAGTCCCCGCCAGGAGGATGGTCCAGCAGTTTTTGTGTGCTAAGTGCGGGGGGTGGTCCCAAGGCCGAGGAGCCAAGCTGGACAAAGTCTGCCCCCCCCACTAAGAAGGGGATAGAGATTCTCCAAGCGTTCCGCAAAGGCCTCGGCCCGAATCCCCGCCTCCGTTCTGCCCTTGATCGTGCTCTCCCATTTTCACAGGTTAATGTAAGTGTTGCCATACATTAACAAGTTCGTTCAGTCACCCGTGTCATCCAGGTGGCTAAGGTGCCTGAGCCCCAGGCGCCTCAGGTTCCAGTCTACGAGCAGCTCATGTCGGCGCTGCTGGAGCGCATCAAGGCCAAGGAGGCCAGGCGAGGAGCGCCCACCGCGCCCTCGCCGTAGTTTTGTTATTCCATCTCCGTTGTGGTGATGCCACCTCCCGTCCTCCTCAGGCGCTGTCCATCCATCCTCCTCCTCCTCCTCATCCCCGTCCTCGTCCTCCTCCTCCTACTACTCCTTCTCCTCCTGCTCCTCCTCCTCCTCCTCATCCCCGTCCTCCTTGTCCTCATTCCCCTCGTCCTCGTCCTCGTCCTCCTCCTCCTCCTCTTCCTCCTCCTCCTCTTCCTCCTCCTCCTCCTCCTCCTCCTCATCTCTTCATCATCCCCCTCGTCCTCGCCCTCCTCCTCCTCCTCCTCCTCCTCCTCATCATCGTCCTCCTCATCCCCATCCTCATCCTCCTCCTCCTCATCCCCCTCCTCCTCTTCCTCCTCCTCCTCCTCCTCCTCTTCCTCCTCCTCCTCTTCTCCTCCTCCTCATCCCCGTCCCCTCCTCCTCCTGTTCATCCCTCTCGTGTTCGTCCTCTTCCTCCTCCTCCTCCTACTCATCCCCCTCGTCCTTGTCCTCCTCCTCCTCCTCCTCCTCATCGACCTCCTCCGTATCGTCCTCCTCCTCCTCCTCATCCATATCGTCTTCGTCGTCCTCCTCCTCGTCCCCCTCGTCCCCGTCCTCCTCCTCCTCCTCTTCCTCCTCCTCCTCATTATCATCATCATCAACCACACCATCATCAACATCATCAACATCATCATCATAATCATCATCATCATAATCATCATCATCATCATCATCATCATCATCATCATCATCATCATCAGCATCAGCATCAGCATCAGCATCATCATCATCAGCATCATCATCAGCAGCATCATCATCCCCGTCCTCCTCCTCCTCATCCCCCTCGTCCTCCTCCTCCTCCTCCTCCTGGTCATCATCCCCGTCCTCCTCCTCCTCCTCCTCCTCCTGATCATCATCGTCATCAGCATCATCATCATCATCATAATCATCATCATCAGCATCATCATCATCATCATCATCATCATCATCATCATTATCATCATCATCCTGATCCTCCTCCTCCTCATCCCCGTCCTTCCCCTCCTCCTCGTCCTCATCATCATCATCAGCAGCATCATCATCATCATCATCAGCATCATCATCATCACCATCATCATCATCATCGTCAGCATCAGCATCAGCATCAGCATCAGCATCAGCATCATCATCATCATCATCAGCATCAGCATCAGCATCATCATCATCATCACCATCATCATCATCAGCATCAGCATCAGCATCAGCATCAGCATCAGCATCATCATCATCATCATCATCATCATCATCATCATCATCATCATCATCATCATCATCATCATCCCCGTCCTCCTTGTCCTCATTCCCCTCGTCCTCGTCCTCGTTCTCCTCCTCCTCCTCCTCATCCCCGTCCTCCTCCTCCTCCTCCTCATCTCCCTCGTCCTCGTCCTCCTCCTCCTCCACCTCCTCATCATCCTCCTCATCCCCGTCTTCCTCCTCCTCATCCTCCTCCCCCCTCCCCCCTCCTCCTCCTCCTCCTCCTCTCCTCCTCCACCTCCTCCTCCTGCCCCTCGTCCCCGTCCTCCTCCTTCCTCCTCCTCCTCCTCCTCCTCCTCCTCCTCCTCATCGTCCTCCTCCTCCTTCTCATCCCCCTCGTCCTTCTCCTCCTCCGTCTCCTCCTCCTCCTCCTCCTCCTCCTCTTCCCTGACCTCCTCCTCCGCCTCCCTCTCCACATCCTCCTCCTCCTCTTCCCTGACCTCCTCCTCCGCCTCCCTCTCCACATCCTCCTCCTCCTCCTCCCTTTCCTCCTCCTCCCCTCCTCCTCCTCCTCCTCCTCCTCATCGTCCCCCTCATCCCCGTCCTCCTCGTCCTCCTCCTCCTCCTCCTCCTCCTCCTCACCTCCTCCTCCTCCTCCTCCTCCTCCTCCTCCTCCTCCTCCTCCTCCTCCTCCTCCTCCTCATCCTCATCATCATCCCCCTCGTCCTCCTCCTCCTCCTCATCCCCATCGTCCCCGCCCTCCTCCTCCTCCTCCTCCTCCTCCTCCTCTTCCCCCTCCTCCTCCTCCTCCTCCTCTTTCTCCTCTTCGGACCCAGGCCGTGGCCCGCCTATGTTTGGCTTCCCCGGCCGCCCCAGCGACTGGGCGAGGGGCGCGGGGCGCGAGCGAGGCCGGGCGGCGGGCGCGGCTGCGCCCGCGAAGCTCGGCGGCTGAGGGGGGTCCCGCGGCGGTGGGAGGGAGGGGGAGGAGGGAGGGAGAAGGAGGGATGAGGAGGATGATGGTGTTGTTGGTGGTGATGAAGCCCATGTTGCTGCAAATGATGACGACGATGGTGGTGGTGGTGATGATGGCGATGGAAATGATGATGATGGGGAGGAAGAAAAGGATGAGGATGAGGATGAGGATGAGGATGAGGATGATCACCTTCCATTCTGTTTGCCAGAGCATGTGTGTGCGTTTATTATTATTATTATTTTATTCTTATTTTTTTTTTAAAAAAAGAAGGGCCAGGGCACAAATCCCGTCGACCGACGGGCTTGTAAGGGATAACCTGCAGCAGCCAAGCCAAATCGATATTACATGACACAAAGGCGCAAGCGGGGAGGGAGAGGAGGGAAGCTTGAGCCGCAGTGGCTGCGGCACACACATTCCAAATATCAAAACATTCAGCATGCAATTCTACGATCACGTTCCATTCTGTTTGCCGGAGCACGTCTTTGCTACAGGGGGCAAGGGCGCATATCCCGTCGACCGACGGGCTTATAAGAGATAACATGCAGCAGCCAAACCAAATCGAGATTGCATGTACCAGGCATACTTGCAATCTATGGCCTTCAGGCCGCACGAACATTAACGTAACGTTCGCCGTTCATGAGCGAATCGACTCAGACGGGCACCTCTCGAATTGCACGCCGCAGAAACCAACCAGCCAGAACCCCAACACGCAAAGTCCCTAGGAATTCGGTGAACAGAGCGCTTCCACGGCACACCGCGCGGGTCGAGCGAACTGAGACAGGCATGAAATCGACGCGGGCCAGAACACCTGTGTCCAGAGCCCGCGCAAGAAGGTCGAGCCTCCTGGAGGGGCGCCGAGACTCCCCGCGCCCAAGTTTTCAGAGGGCCGGTGGCGAATACTACCGTACTGACACAAGTTTAATTCAACCGCTTGCGTAGCATGCGACGTAGCATATTTGGCGGAGGCAAGGCGAAGTAGAGCACGCGGCGCAGGCTTCTAAAACAGCAGGGGCCCTTTAAGCGATGGCACTCGAGGATCAAGGAGCACAACCCACCGCAGAGAGCCAGAGACCGAGCCGAGGGAACCCCAGGACCCGAGGAGGCGGAGGCCCAGCCGCCCAAGACAACCTACCCCGAAGCCACCCCAAGATCCGTTGGCGCACCGCGGGTCGAGACCCAATCAAGCCCAACATTCTGCAGAGGGTCGATACAAATGGCGGCGAACCCTACAGCGCGCAAGCGCTTCACGATGGGTCTTGGAGAAATCCCGAACCCAAGAAACACACTGCGGGGCCTCACATATGCCATTCTCGTCGCATTTTGCAGTTGTCGTGTCAAATAGCGGCCCACCTGCCCGTCGGCGCGGGCCTCGCCCGCCCGCGCGACGTCGAGGGCGGCTGCCGCGGGATCTGCAGCAGGAACGGCGACCCGCTGCTGACAGCCTCGAACATCGAGACCAGATGGCGGTCCACCTGGAGCCCAAGCGAGGGCACGGCCTCGCCAAGGTAGTTCATATGCTGCTGGAGCTTGGCCCGCTTGGCGTAGCGGCGGAGAGAGCAATCCGCGATCCACCTTCCACGATCTCTGACCTCGGCCAGGCTCCTGCGAGCGCCGAGCAGGTCGTCGCTCGCCGCGCTGCGGTGCAGCACGCACAGCGACGGCTGAGTGGCGAGGCCCAGCGCCTCGGCCGCGCTGTTGAAGGCGTCGCGCACCTCCGCCACCTGGAAGTCCCAGAGCGGCTGCGCGCCGGGGCGAGCTGGTCGAGCGCGACGCTCTCGTCGGTGACCCCCGTCTTGCCAGGCCTCCCGTCCTCGCCTGGGTTGAGGATGAACCCTCCACTCTGCGTGCTTCTCGCCGGCCAGCGGGCGGGGCGGGGCCAGCGAGCGGTCGCGCAATCGGAAGGCCTCCGACGGCCGCAGGTAGCCGGCAAAATACATCGCGCAGGGAATCTGCCGCCTGGCCAGCATCGCGCCCGCGATCGCCACCGCTGCAGGTCGAGGGATCGGAAGGCGCATACATGGCGGCTCGAGCTTCTTCCAGCCCTCCATCGCCTTGCAGACCCTCGGCAGCGACAGGCGCGCGCGCCCCGGGGCAGGCAGCGAGTGGCGGACCGCCGCCAGAGTCGCACGACCAGTAGCCGCGTCGAAACCGTCTAAGGCCAGGTGCGCCAGGATGGCCGCCAAGATCACGTCTACATCCTGCGTCGACGACCAGTGGGGCCCCATCGGCAGGCACCAGTTCACCAGGCGCTGGGCGTGAGCAGCGCAGTGCGCGGCCGTCGCGTCGGCGAGAGCCGCCGTCTCGAGGAAGCTGAAGGGGCCGCTCTGCAACTGCGACACGGTCTTCTGGGGCACCAGCCGCTGGCGGGCCAGCGTCGTGGCCCGCTGGGGGCGCCCGTTCCGCGAGACCGCCTGGCGCTCCGCCTGCGGTCTGAACGTCGCCCTGCCACTCGGGCCCTGTGAAAAAGCCGCCCCGCGACGGGGCGTCGGACGGGTTGAACTCCGAGGGGGCCCACCTCACGTGCGCGCGGCAGCCCGAAGCCAGGGGCAGCGACGCGAACCTCCTCAAGGGGAGCGCGGGCCTCGGAGCCCCCCCACGTCCTTTGCCCACGCTGCGCGCTAGAGCCAAATTGTCAACGAACAGGGCGAGACGATGCCCCAGGAGAGGCCCAGATCGCAGAAGATGGCGCAGGGCAAACTCCAAGGCATCCCCCTCGGACTTCAAGATGTCCTTACTCCTGAACACGCAGCTCGAGTGAACGACCTTCCACTGGGGGCCCTCCAACAGGCGCCTGGGGATCTCAACGAACGAGGAGATACCGTGTTCGACTTCCATGGAGCCCTCGAAGTTCGCGACAGCCTCAGCGCTGAGAACCCCGCGGAGCTCACCATGATCCCCAAGAAGTCCATGCTCAGTGATGCTCAGGTTCCCGAGGTTGCCCCCCGGCGCCCAGACGACCCGCGCCCTGCCCAAGACGACCGTCCCCAAGAGCGCGTCGGCGAGCAGCGACGGCATCGTGGAACTTGTACCTGGACTTTTCGGCGAGGCGCCCGACGTCGGCCACCACGTTGGCAGGCAGCTCACGGCGACGGACCCCGACGCCGCGCCCCGGGGAGTCCGACCCCGCGACGTCGGAGGCCCACGGGGGGCGGCAGGCAGAAGCCCGCAGAGGCAGCGAGGACTGAACCCACTTGAGCTCCTTGACGACCCCAAGACCATAGCTGTTTGGACTCGGCGGAGCGCGACCGCGCGAAGGCAAAGGTGGCTGGCAACATCGACAACGTCTCCCGTCGGCACAGCATGGCCCATGTGATGTGACCGATCAAAGTGGACATAGCACGAGGCGCAACCTGACCATGACGAATCACTGAGCGGAGCCCCAATCTGAGACGTGCAAGCGAGGACGAGGGGTCCTCATGCAATCCGTTTCACCATCGAACTCGAGACCCGTAAGGATCATGGAAGCACGGGCCCCCTGCACCTCGTGCACAGGCAGTCCGCGTGAGGCCACGGCCGCTGAAATGCACTGCAACGTTGCGTCGGCGAGCCCCTTCGAACCAGCCGCGGCGCAGAAGTTATCGACGCAAGCGGCCGCCGCCCAGGAGGTCGGGTACTGCAGCGAAGGCGGGGGCCCCATCCACGATGAAGCGATCGGCCTCAGCTCCGGCGTCACGAGAAATAATGTGGACTAGAGCGCCCTGGCAAAAGTGAAGGTCCCAGTTCCAGCCCATCGGCATGGCCAAATGTCGGGAACGACGTCCACGTCGAGGGGTGCCCCGTCGCAGCCCAGGACCCAATTCGCGATGCACGGGGGCGCGAAGCACTGGGCAAGCTCCGAAGGAAGCTTCATATGATAAACAGCATACTGGGCGTCCGCCGCCGCCATGTAAGCTGCGGCGTCGGAGGCGCTCCCCACCCCGGACCATAAGCGGCGCGCGTCGGTAGCTTCGCGCTGGCTGGCTCTGAGAAGGACAAATTGGCAATGCGCGTGTCGAACGCCGTCCTGATTTTCCCGTCCTTCTTGGTAGCGATAAAACACACCCCGACCGTGGGTTGCCCCCGACTACGACAGACGCGGAATCGCAGCATGCCCGCTACATCGAGTTGACGGAGGAAGTCGGCGTAGCGGTCAGGACAGCTCAAAAGAAGAAGATCAACGTAAGGCTTGACCAGTCCAGACTCTCGGCGTCCAGCGACGGCGGTCGTCCTCCATGACCCCAGCCAATCGAGGGCGGCCACGCTGCAGGAAGACTCCAGGGGGGTAGGCTTTGTACCTGCAGCGGGCCAGGACACGAGGTCCTTGGCATAATGTCGAAGTGTGGTATCGTCTTCACAATGCCCAGGAGTATTACGGAGCAGCTCTGCAAGGGCGGCATCCGAAGAGGCGTTGCTGACGGTGACGTCACCCGGCCAATCAAACTTCTTGAACAAATCGACGATGTACTCGAGAGCAAGCCGCCGAGGGAGGGCGCGTGCGTCCGAAAGCACAGGAACGTCATCAACGGGCAGCAACTGGCCGCGCATCCCGTTGAGCGAGTCGATGCACTCGTTCGCCCGCGTCCTCCAGGCGAGCCCCTGATCAAACCGCTGTCGAGCCCACCAAGAACGAAGCTGGCCCCGTCGGCCATCCACAGCGAGCCGAGGTAGAGGGAAAAGTCTGCGATGCCGATCACCGATGGCTCTCGCCATCGCGGCGCCGCGCAGCACGTGGCCCGAAAAAAAAAAACAGCGGGCTCCTGAGGGCGGGCCCCCGCTGAAGCCAAGGGTCTCGAAGGTCACTGACGCAACGCCCGCTCCACGCGGGCCTTCCTGCGCCCCTTGGCGACCGCAGCCTCCGCCTTCAACTCATCTGCAATCCAGTTGCTGAGCAACGGGCAAACGCGCGCGTCCCCGCGGCTCCCCTGGGCTCCCAAGAAGAGGTTGTTCCCCACTCGGTCGTCCAGGATGTGCGACTTATCATTGTCCTTCTTCTCGCCTCCTTTCGGTCTGAAAGCCGTCTCGACCACCTTCTCCTCCAGCAGCTGGAGTCGCATGGCCGTCACCTCCAGATGGGCGAGCTCGCCTCACCTGATCGTTGCAAACCGCGAGCTCCAAGATCCTGCAGAGGAAGGGGGTGGTCTCGGGTGATCGGGTCATCCTCGGACAACTTCCACTCCGTCATCCGCTTCGCGTGCCGCGCTGCTGGGGGCGACGCGCGGCGCTGGATACGGGCGCGCACCCAGGCCGCAGTCCGCGGCCCACGCACGGGCCAATCCGTCCACGCCGTCGAGGCGTGCAGCAGGATGCCCTCGCAGAAGTCTCGCCAGCGATCGCCGCGCGTGTCGTAGGACACATGGTTCACGCGGAGGTCCGCAGCGCCGCCCGCTCCAGCGCCGGGGCCGCCTCCGACTGGGCCTCCGACCGCCTCAGGCGCGGGGCCGCCCGCTGCAGCTGGCTGGGGCGCGCCAGCAGGGGCTCCTCCAGCCGCCGCGGCAGGGGCCCCACCCAGCGGGGCCGCGAGGGCCGCGGGCGGCGGAGCGCCGGCCGCAGGGGCGGCGCCGCCCGGGGCAGCCACTGACCCAGGCAGGGCGACTCCTCCAGCAGCCGCCGCGGGCGGCGCCAAGCCCGCGGCAGGCCCAGGGGCCGCAGGCACTGCGAGGGCCGCAGCCGCAGGGGCACCACCGCCAACGGCCGCGCCTGGCCCGGCCAGAGCAGCCAGCCCCGCTGCGAGGCCGCCCACGCTGCCTGCGCCCAGCGGGAGGTTCGCAGGCCCCAAGGGCGCTGGCAGCCCCAGCACCGAAGCCCCGTCGCGGATCCCGTCCCACGCCTCCTGAGCGGTAGGGGGCGCACGGAACCCGTACACGCGAAGCCCAGCTGGCCGACCGCCCTGGCCGCGGAGCAGCATGACGGCGGCGATGTCCGCGACGGGCCCCGCGTTCTCGAGCCCCGTCGGGCGTCAGCACGAAGTGTCCTCCAGCGCCATCCGAGATCAGTCCGATTCGCTCATGCCAGATCTGCGCGCCACCTACACGGTAGCGGACCAATGAAACAGTGAGAAGGTCTGGCATTTTCATTTGCCGTCGGTGCGCCTGTCACGGATCGCCTTCGCGTGGATCCGCGCGACCTCCTCGAAGCTCGACTCGACCTCGGCGGCCTGCCCCACGACAGCGTAGCGGTGCGCCAGGGCGTAGCCCGCCGCCGCGCCGAGCGACACCCGCGAGGAGACTAGCAGCCGAGTGTGCGCCGACAAACCCGAGGCAGGACGGCTCAGGTACCAGGCCGCCAGCGCCCGCGTAGACGCACGCGGGGATGGCAGGACAGGTCAGGTGCGGCGCGCAATCCCCGCAGCTCGGCGCGGCGGCCCGCGCCACCACGGAGGCTCCCAGGGCCTGAGCTCCGTATCGCAGAGTGTCGGAGAGGTACAGGCCCAGATCTTGCATGGTGGCCGAAGAAATTAAGCTTGAGCCGCAGCGGTTGCGGCACAAACATTCCAAATATCAAAACACTCAGCATGCTGTTATATGATTATGATGATGGCGACGATGAGGATGATGATGATGATGATGATAATACTGGTGATTATGATGATGGTGATGATGATGATGATGATGATGATGATGGTGATGGTGATGGTGGTGGTGATGACGGTACTGATGATGGTGGTGATGCTGATGATGATGCTGCTGGTGATGATGACTAGCATTATGATGATGATGATTAGTATGCTGATGAGGGTGATGATGCAGACTTTGATGCTGATGATGACGGTGATGATGTTGATGGCGGTGATACTGGTGCTGCTAATGATGATGATGATGATGACGATGATGATGATGATGATGATGATGATGATGATGATGAGTATGGTGCTGCTGTTGCTGATGATACGGCTGATGTTTATGGTCGTGGTTGTGTTGACGATCATGATGATGACAATGATGATGAGGATGGTGATGATGATGATGATGATGGTGACAGTGGTGATGCTGATGCTGATGCTGATGCTGATGCTGATGACGATGATGATGATGATGATGATGATGATGATGATGATGATGATGATGATGATGGCGACGATGATGATGACGATGATTATGATAATGATGACGACGATGATGATGACGATGCTGATGAGGATGATGCTGATGCTGATGATTATGCTTGTGCTGATGCTGGAGGTGATGATGATGGTCATGGTGACAGTTGTAGGGGTGATGGTGGTGATGCTGAAGATAATGGTACTGCTCGCTGCAGTAATGGCGGTTGTGCTGATATAATGATGACGACCCTCAAATCTGAGGTTCTGAAGAAACATGACGGTCGTTGTCTATACAGTTGTCGGCCTCAGGGGGCCCTCAACGGGCGCCAGGTTATGATGATGCTGATGATGAGGAGGAAAAGGAGGAGGAGGAGAAGGAGAAGGAGGAGGGCCTTGGCCACCGATGCCAACAGCCTACAGGATACATGAGGAGAAAGGGTTGATTCCGAGGATGAGAAAGAAGGATGAGGAGGAGGAATTGGAGGAGGAAAGGGAGGATTGGAGGAACGCTGTAAAAGGAGGACAAGGAGAAACTGGAGGAAAGTGCGCTGGCGCCAAGGCGAACCTGCAAATTGGCGTATTGAGTAGATGCGGTAAGTGCTGGCTGACGGTGCGCATGGGTGCGGGCAGCTAGTTGGTGAACACCTCGTAGCAAGTCCCCGACCAAGGTGGTAGTAGCAACACTGGGCGCCGACCGCTCGTAGCCTGAAGGAAGAGCCAGGAACGGGACCTTGTCATTGGAGCCCTGGAAGTGCAACCACTTGGCCTGAAGGATGCCCTAGCACGACTGGCACAGCTTGTTCCCGAGGGGGTCTTCCAGGAATGACCTAAGGACCGCTTGCAGGGGCGACCAAGTCGCGTGAGATACTTCAAAACCTTGCAGGGGCCCTCAAGCCCAGGTGGTAGCGAGCACTGGTGGCCCGACCTTCCCACTTCAACGAAGCACGCAGCGTGCTGGCAGGAACGGCCCACACGCGGACACACAAGCTGAGGTAAACCAGTCGACAACAGGCGCGCACTCCTCGATACTCGCGTACAACATCAACTCGACCGTCCATGCGCTCTAGAGATGAGACCATGATCGAGGAGGGAGGTGTTTTGTTTTTTTGCTGTTTAGCTTTCGCAGTATATTACATGCTGTTTGATCTTGTTCGAGTTCGGTGTGGCGTTACCACATAAATAAAGCAGAACAAACATTCACACCACATGCATAAGGATAGCTGCCGTTTCATTAAATGTTTGAGGGGGAGAGGAGGGAGGGAGAGAGGGAGGCAGGAGGCCTCCCGTCCCCCCCCCTTCGCTCAATCCTCATCCTGCTCTCCGTCCCTGCGCCTCCTCGCGCCACCCTCTCCTGCTGCTCCACGCCTGCTGTGCAAACCAGCATAGACAAGACGCCACGAACGCTCTCGCTGCCCCGGGTGCGCGCGACCAGGTAGCGCAGGCGCCTCCCGCACAGCACCCCGCGTGCCAACGGGCAGACGTGACCCAGCTGCGAATGACACGCTGCAGCTTCCACGTCTGGGCTTTACCCGCATCCAGAAGCAAGACAAGCAAGAACAAGCATCCGCAGAGTTGGGCATGTGCCACCTGGAGGAGGAGGAGGAGGAGGAGGAGGAGGAGGAGGAGGAGGAGGAGGACGTGGAGGAGGACTGGGAGGGGTCTCGGGCAGCGGTGGGGACGCCCTCGCGCTCACACGTCCAACGCTCGGCGAGGCCATCGGACAAAGCGCCAGGCGTTGGATCCCCGGCGCGCCGCTGCGTGCCCCATCTGCGCCACCGGGCGCGCGGCGGCACGTGCGGCAGCACGCGGGCGAAGGAATGCACTCCTGGCCTGAGCATGCGATGGCGTGCTCGATGCGCACGCTTCCCGTGGGGGAACCTCGCAGACGTCGAAGACACATCGCGACAAGAGCCCACTGCAATCATTCTGGACCGCTGCCCGGTGACCAGCGTCTCATTTCGAGCCGACTCGGGATGTAAGAAACCACGACCCCGCGACCGTGACTCAACAATCCTTCTCCAAAACCTGCGCTGCCTTGATTGTCTTTGTTTTCGCACGGGGTCTCCAAGAGGTCCTGACCCTCTCCCCAGGACCCGTTCCTCATCGCATCGCATCGCCGGCGGCACGAGAGCTGTCTGAAGCATCACGGGGCGCCTTCACACCTCGTGGCAAGCATCTGGACGCCTGCTGTCGAAAGCTGTGGCCGAAAAAAGTTGGTTTCATCATGGTTAAATCCATGAGTTTACGCTCTGGCCGAGGGGCTCTGCAGCAGCACTCGGGATGCCGCGTGGACCCGTTCCTCATCCCGAGTCGTCTCTTGGGTGGTCCCGGGGCCCAGCGAGGGTCCCCGGAAGCCGAACGCGGCGAAAGACCTTATATATCGCGATGGCTTCACGCCGCGGGCATGTCATGATCAGCAGCGCATGGACCCCTAACCCTCTGGAGGGGACCTGCGTACTCCAGATTTCGTAATAAAAGGGAGGAGGGGGTCTCAACCCTCCAAGACAAGCCATTTCAGACCCCCCCCCCGTGGGAAAACCCTCCAAAACATCGTCCCCAGACCCCTCCAGGCCCTCCAAGATAGCCTGGAAGAGACCCCCCCCAAAATGAGACCCCCCTCCCTTTATTACGAAATCTGGAGTAACCCTTTGGAGGGGACCTGCGTAAGTTAGGAGGGCGACAAACATGAAGGATAGGAGGGCGAAACACATTAAGGATAAAGGGGGTCTGTCCTGCAGACGTATCAGACCAACCCACCCAGATTGATGCCCCCGAACGCAAAGATGGGGACCTAAGTGAGGCCACGTCATCCATCTGTGATTTGGAGAAACGGAAAAATACCGATACTGCTACTCCCTGGACCTCTCCCGGGGTGCGTTCTGACTAGGATTTCAAGGCGAATACAGCGGTGGCGACGAGGGCCTCCGAGGAGGCCCGAAGAGGGGAAATCGGGGGAAGGGTAGAGGTATGGGTATCTTTCCTCCTTTGCGTTTAAGAGTTAGGGTTTCTTGTATCCTCGATGATGTCTGGGTCACGTCCCCACATGCGAGCAGCAGCCACTGGCCGCCCGTATCGATGTTTCTTCCGCGGCGCGCGACTGTCAGGGTCCCTTCGGCGCCCGTGCGCAGCACGGCAGCACGCCAGCACAAAGCGCGGGCTCGGGGGGGAGGGGGGCGCTGCGAACGCGCGCTGTCGGTCGGTGACGTACCCGCCGATGGAATTCTTCCAAGCCGCTACGAAGGGCAACGGTACACATCAGTCGGAAGAAGTGGGGCAAACAATAAAGTAGGAAGGCGTTGGAAATTGATTGGGTTTCCGCCCGCCCCCTAAAGAGAAGAGAAGAGGTACAACCGCTCGACCATTGAAGTAGGAAGGCGCCGAAAGTAGATTAGAATCTAAGAGAGAGCGTGATCCACCGCCGCTTTACTTTGGAAAAATCCCCCCCCTCTTCCTCTGGAACCCGGCCCCCCCCCCTCCGAAAATCCCCCCCCCCTGCCCCCCCCCCTTCCCCCGGCAAAACCCCCCCCCTCCCCTACCCCCCACCCCCAGAAAACGGGGGGTCACTACCAGTTCGAACCCCCCCCCCTGCGGAAAACTGGGGGGGTCACTACCGGAACCCCCTCCCCCCAGAAAACCAGAGGGGCACTACCGGTTCGAACCCCCCCCCATCATGAAAAAGGGGGGGGTCACTACCGGTTCGAACCCCCGCCCCCCTCCCCCCTCGAAAACTGGGCGGGGTCACCACCGGTTCGACCCCCCCCCTCAAAAACCGGGGGAGGGTCACTACCGGTTCGAACCCCCCCCCCGTCGAAAACCGGGGGGGGTCACTACCAGTTCGAACCCCTCCTCCCCCCCCACGCCCTTCCCCCCCCCACGCTCACCGCCAGCAAACGACTCCCGGGTCCCTACCACCGTCCGCACCACATCCCCCACTGCTGTCCCCAGCACCACTGTCCTCACTACCACTGTCCCCACTGTTCCCACCACAGTCCCCACTGTCCCCACCAGTGCACCCACCACTGTCGCACTGTCCCCGCTGTCCCCACCACTGTTCCCACCACGGTTCCACTCTCTCCACTTTCTCCACGGCCCCAACCACTGTCCCACTGTCCCCACTGTCCCACTGATCCACTGTCCCCGCCGCTGTCCCACTGAGCTGTCCCACTGCTCCCACCACTGCCCCCACTGTTCCCACCACTGTCCCCACTGTACCTCTGTCCCATTATCCCAACGCCGTCCTCGCCACCGCCCTCACCACTGTAACTTGTGTATGCGTGTGCGTGTGAATATGTGTATATATATACATATATATATATATACACACATATATGTGTATATTGTTATGCGCGTGTGTGTTTGTGCGTGGGTGGGTGGGTTTGCATGCGTCCGCGTGCACGGGCGCGCGCTCGTGTTCGCGCGTGTTCGCGTGTTTGTGTGAATTCGCATGTGGTTGCGTGTCCTTGCGCGTGCATGTGCGCGCACGTTTGCGCGAGTGCGCGCGTGAAAAATCCAAGTCGGCCGTTCGCCATATACGGCTATGAACGTGTGCCTGTTCATATGTTTGGAAGCGCACAGATGCAAACTTGTTTTTTGACATGAAGTGTTCATGCATGTGTGTATGCATGTGCGTGATTCGAAGTGTTTTGTCGCATTGATGTGGCAAGTGTTTCTGAAAATTAGTTGATGTGTTTTGTTCCTATTGTATTGTTTCAAATTTTGTCTCGGTAGCAACAATTTTCCGGGACAAAAGCTGTTTCAGAACAACAAGTTCCGCAGAAAATAATTTAGTTTTTCTATAAAAAAACTCTGGGGAGGAGGAAGAGGGGGAGGAAGCGAAGGAGGAAGGGGAGCCTCGAGACCCCGAAAGACGCAAACAAACCCGGGACCCGCTTCCCTCGGAACCCGCTTCCCCCGGAACCCGCTTCCCCCCGTGGCGAGAGGGCAGGAGGAACGGCCAGCCGCGGCCCGCGGCGCACCAATTTGGCTTCTCCCGGGGGCGGCCAAGAGGGGGGCGTCCAAAGGGGGGGGGAGGATTGCAAAAAAAAAACCTTGAACGAAGGATTGTAAAAAAAACCTTCGAAGGTTTTTTTTTTTTTGCAATCCTTCGTTTTTTTGTTGCAATCCTTCGAAAAAGGGTTTTTTTGCAATCCTTGTTTTTTTCCAATCCTTCGCGTAAGTCGTGACCAGCGGCACATCCGCGGCCCAGGGTGGGGGGGGGGGGGGGCTGGGGACGTAGTGGAACAAGAACAGGCGCCATGATTTCTGGAGGGATATCTGAAGCTCCCGCCATGATTTCACCCTCCCCACCTATATCAGTGGTGCCATTCTACTGGCGAAGCTTTTGACGACAAAACGCAATTCAAAAAATTAAACGTTTAATCGCAAAATGCTCGGTATAGCGTTGGACCAATCGCGGCTGACTGAACGCGAAAACGCGAGCGCCCGCGCGATGCTCCTCGCTGCAGACTGAAGCCCCGATGGGCACCACGATCACAGCGTTTGGCGCGAAAGGGCGCGGACCGAATTGCCTGCCAATCGCGACGTTGCGATGAGGAACCGCTGCGCCAAAGACAGCGGCAGCGGTGCTACATCGAACAAACACCTTGGAGCAAGTATCATTGCGACAGCGACATCAAAGGCGCCATTACGTTCAATGACACATTGGAGGTCGCGCAACCACGCGCGAACCCCACGCGGCACTACAGCGCGCAACCGCATGATGAACGCAAACTGCACAAGCCAACGCGATGCGCGTGCCTGCGCGCGCTAACCCACAACCAGTGGCTCGCACGTGCGCGCGCGCACGTTCGAGGGCGATGGCATCGCCAGAAGTCGCGGCGCGATGGCAACTGGCTGTGCAAATTTGCAGGTCGCCAGGCGCACTTCTGAAAGTTCTTGGGGTCGCAAAACCATAATGAAAACCGCGCCGCGCATCCAAAGCGACGCGATCACGCGAGTAGGGCCGCCCGCGCACGGCAAGGCGCGAACGCAAGCCCAAGCTGGAAAAAAAACAGCGAGGTATGGAATCGGATTGCAACGGGCGCTGGTTTTCAGGGCGCGCTAAAAACGCATCGCGCGTCGAAGCGCGACCGCCAACAGTCAGCTATGAGGCTGGGCACCCTCGCTGGGAACGGTCAGAACTCAAGAGCAGCGGCCAGGAATTGATGGGCGCCTCGAACGGCGGCGACAACAAAAAAACACATCCTCTCGTCGCCGCGCGGCGCAAGAAGCGGCGCAGTCGACCGCGCACGTCCGCACCGCGCAGATTAGCGCAAGACGCGACGCACAACGAAGGGATTGAAAGCCCGCTCGCGCGCGCACGCGCGCACGCCGCAAAGGCGGGAGCGCGCCTCCGCGGGCCTGCGCGCGTTCCGAAGGGCCGACAGCGCGCGCCAGCGCAGCCTGCGCACTGGGCGTCGACCCACCGCGGAGACGACGTCGACGCAGAGGGTTCTGTGGAGCCAGAATACTTGAGCCAGAATGGTCGGATCCAAAATTGCAACAGAGGGGGGGGGGCGCCGGGGGCGGCGGGGGGGGGCAGGAGCGGAGGGTTTGGCGGGGCGGGGGCCGGAGGCGCAGCGGGGGGACGCAGAGTAGAGCGCGGCGAGGGGGGGAAGGGGGTCGGAGGGGAAGGAAAGGAAGGCCGCCACCATGCTTTCGCACGCAGAGGCGCGTGAAAACGCTTCGCGCTTCCATTTGGGATTATTTCCAACGTTCTCTAAGGCGTATGACGTACTTGCAGTTCGACAGGATATGCAATCGCACCCCGTTTGGCGCGCGCAATGCGTCTGGTTAGTGTCATCGAGGCCACGGCCGTGCATAAGTGACACAACAGCCGCCCCGTCTCAACAACCATCTGTTTGATCGTTTCAACCCCC